TAAAGAAAGACAGACAGAAACAACACATTTACAGGAATGATCTGGCGTGACATGTCCCCGCTGAGTCTTGCCAGTTTGAGTGTTACGACAGATGAGTTATGGAAAATCAATTAAACCTTCAGCTTCATATGAATGAACCACATTAACTCTTCAACTGCCTGCATATTGTATCCTGCAGACTCTCAAATAAAGCTGAAAACAGATTTAATTAATTTTTGTAAAAAACCAACAACAAGTGTGCTACAAGCTAGTGTTTGGAACATAGTTGCTGGTTTAGTTTAGTTTAGTTTTATTTAAAGTTTGACGTGACAGGATATTGCAGCACAAAACCCTGAAATGTGTCAAACATACACATACTCCAAGACAATCATTACTTAGTATAAAATGAATAAAAGATAGCTGATATACAAGCATAATAAAATAAAATAAAATAAACTTCCCAGGAGTGGCCGGCCGACCAAAATTACCCCAAGTGTTCACTTGTGTTATCTTTTACTAATATTTAAATTTGTTTGATGATCTGAAACATTAAAGTGTGACAAACATGCAAAAAAATAAGAAATCAGGAAGGGGGCCAACACTTTTTCACACCACTGTATATACTGAACTACCAAAATCTGCCTTTTTACCTTAAAATGTACCGATAACCACCCTAATATACAGGTGGCACAATAAAAAAGCCACATGATGAATCGAAGTTTGTTCATAAATCATGGCCAATACTTGTGTGTGTATGTGTGTATACTGTATATATACACAACTAACACAGATTCACAGAAAAGGCATCCTAATCAAGGACTTGTAAGTTATCCATACAACAATTTTAGAGCACGGGGAATAAAGGAGAGTTCATGATGTTTAGTTTTACTCCTGGGTACAACAAAAATGTCTTGTGCCGCCGAAGAGAATAAGTAGGTGTTAGACCAGGGGTGCCCAAACTCGGTCCTGGAGGGCCGGCGTCCCGTTCAGGTGTGTTTAATTGGGGTTGGAGCTAAACTATGCAGGACACCGGCCCTCCAGGACCGAGTTTGGGCACCTCTGTGTTAGACCCAATGCAATGGTGATGAACTGTCCTTGAGTATTTTAGTAAGAGTACGTATGGTGGCTCCCTCACGCCTCTCCCTCAATGTTGGAAGAGTTGAAGTCGGAATGCCTATTATCCGACAGCATCGCTGTTGAATCCTCTCTAACTCCTCAGAGAGACCTTTAGGTAGACCACCCCATACTGGACTAGCATATTCAAGAACTGGCCGTATAAAAGTCAAATATACTTGCACTAAAACATCACAAGGAAGACCCGCTTTTTTGCAGTGCAAAGATAGTATATTCTGGGGTGCACCTTCAAAATCATGTACTTAATGTGGGCATCCCATGACAAGTCAGAGGATATTTGATCTCCAAGCAATTTAAAGGTGGAAACTCTACTAATTGCATGTCCTGAGATAACAGGAGAGGGAGGGGAGGGAATGTTATCCTCTCTCCTGGCACTAATTACCATGTCCACAGTCTTAGCTCCATTCATTGCCAATGTAAATTCCTGTCCCCATTCCACTACAGAGTCTAAGGCCTTCTGAGTGAGTCCAGGTAAAGATCCTATTAGAAACTCTGTGATTGTTAGATCATCAGCATATTTCACAGGTATTACCGAAGGAGGCAAATATGAATCCAGGCTATTTATGCATATGACAAAAAGCAGAGGGGATAGAAGTCCCCCTTGAGGAACACCAGCTGGAACTGGAAAGGAGTTAGACACACAGGAGCCCCACTTCACTCTCTGCTCTCTGTTACGCAGATAGCTCCTTACAATAAGCCAAAGGGGTCGTCTAACATGCAAGTCAGCTAAGGAATGTAACAGTCGACAATGTTCAATTGTGTCAAAAGCTCGAGTGAAGTCAACAAAAACAGCATGCACTGTATATCCATTTTGGGGGAGCTGTTAAGTGCTTCATGCCAGTGCTGCAGAATTTGAATTAAGGCAGTGTCAGTTGATCTGTTCCTCATAAAGCCGTGTTGTGATGGTTCGATCTTAGTAACTGTATCCTCCAGAATGGCATCTCTGAGGATTCCTTCAAACACTTTTCCAACACAGCTGAGTAGTGAGATCTGGCAATAATCGGCTGGAAAACTAGGCTTTGCTTTTTAAGGAACAGCTTTGACTATAGCCTCCTTCCATTGTTTTGGAAAAATATTATGCTGGTGCCAACTCTTCATGAAAAGTCTTTAGCACCCAAGGAGGAACGCAGTCAGGACCAGCAGCCTTGGCTGCATTCACTTTACAAAGTCTAGTCTTAACTTGTCCAATATTCAGAGGAGGTACACTACAATTTGACAACTTGCAGGTAACTTCTTCCTCAGACAAAGAAATGTGGCTCGCCAATTATTAAAGACTCTTAGAACACTAATATGTTGCGTAGGTGTAAACATACAATATACATTCTCAATTAGATCATCCGAATACGAATTCATAGATACTAGACATGGTAGAGTTACTTATATGAATGAGTGGTTTATCGTAAGCATGAATAAAAATAGTCTATAATACAACAGATTAATACAAAACAGCAATAATATACACAATGGCCTGAAGAATATGTGTGTTCATTCAAAGAAAGGTTTTCCTATGAATTAATTAGTAGAAAAGTCCATTTCTACTGTGCGTTTGTCCTGGGACATGCAGGGATTTTCCCTGCTTTAGATACTTTTGGCCAATAAACCCAGTGATATCAGCGTTGGTTGCCATGCAACAAAGGGGCCTGTTTCGGCTTCCTGGGGTGTTACACATTCCGGGGGGAAGGGTTCATGGGTCCTCGTATGGCTTGTTAACTGAGGGGGGTTACAGAGTATTTGTTAAATATAAAAACAAAATATATATTGTGTTTTTGATTGGTCCAGACGCTACACATAATTTCACACAGAAGCAAAGTGCCTAGCCAGAGTGTCACACTCACGTTGCATGATGTTTTGATGCTGAGACACCATGTCACTCTTATCTCCTTCCATCCCCATTCAATTCTTCACTGACTTAAACCATTGTTTTGGCTTGGAGCATCGCAGTTCTTCCACCTCATGCTGGTAATATTGTTTCTTTGCGTTCTTGATTTTTTTTTGGCAATGATTGATTTTAACATCCTATAAGAGGTTTTGTCGCCAGAACAAAAAGTACACTGCCTATCTTTTATCAGATCTTTAATTTGAACAGTCATCCAAGGCTTATCTGTGTTTGTGATAGAGACTTTCTTTAATGGAACTGTTTTATCCAAGATATATATGATAGTGGAAGTAAAGGCACCAACCTTAGCCTCAGGATTTACAGCTTTGTGAATGTGAGAAAAATCAGTAGTGTTCATAAGGAGGCCCAGTTCCCTGATTGTCTCAGGGGTACGTTTTCTGCAAAAAAAATGTTTAATAGGCTTGGTGGGCCAGTTTCCTGCATTTATCAATAGTCTGATGGTCAGAAGAGCCAACAGGAGGCAAATGCTCTGGTGTCTGATAAATGGAGGAAATATTGGTAAATATAGAGTCTAGTTGACTAGCCTTTCTAGTTGCTCCAGCCACGATTTGTTTCAAACCATGTCTGCTGCAGATGGTTTCAGACTTGTATTTATTTGTGTCACCAAGTATGACAATTGCAGCCTGCTGATAGTTACATTCAATATATCTGAGACAACTATCCAAATACTGTGAGATTAGTAAATCAGGTTGGGCTGATGAAGAAGAGCGTGGTGGAAAATATAGCACAGCAGCAATAATACAACTTAACCCACGAGGAAGACGACTGGGACGTAACCAGACCCACAAAGCTTCATGCTCTTCCTCTTCTAGACGAGTCAGTCAAATTTGTTTGATGGTGTTACTAACAAGTCAACTCCGCCTCCCCCACCTCCCTTGCGATCCCGCCGATGTATTGTATATCCAGGAAAAGTTACAATTGAATCTGGGATACCATCATTTAGCCAAGTCTCTGAAACGGCGACAACTGCTTTTAGTTATTATTCAGTGCTACACTGCGCAGCTCATCACATTTGTGGCGTAAAGAACGCACATTAGAAAGGAGAAAACCAGGCATAGATGGTATTGACTTGTGTTGGCTTATCTTGATATTTAAGTTCTTAGATTGGTAACAACATTCAGATAAAAAAATTATTTGCCCAGTTGGCTGTCTTTTAATATCCACAGCAGTTCCACAAGAAATAGGGCGATTTCCATCAATTATACATATTGAACGAATATAATTTCTCCCAGCTTTCTTACCCCTTGGGCAAGATCTGAGTCGAAGAATCCCATTTAACTGCAGTAGGCCTATGTTCTTAACTTCAGGAGCCAAAGGAGATGCACATCTTCTCAGACTTCTTAAAAAATTTAAATCACTTAAATGTCCAGGTTGTGCAATTGTAAGGAGAAGGGGGGAAACAATTACTTGAAGATGGTTTCCTCAATAGTTTCCTATCATCCACCCAGCTGTTGAAGAGTAGGCCGCATACCAAAATCCATCCAAAATCTCCCAGGAATAAATCCATCCACATGTCCTAACTCCCAATATAGCAATATAATCGTACAAATAAATTATCTATCCGTGCATTTCCAAACTATACTAAGTTAAAATTCTGGTGGTCTACCAGCTCTAACAGAGTTGACAATAGTCCCCCTCAGGTTTCTAAACCATTAATAGACACATTTTTGTTCTGTAGACTTTTAGAACCTAAGCTCTCCTAAAACATAGCTCTTATACTCTTGCTAGTTTAATTTGTCCACTAACAGTGACAGAATTGTTTTATGATGGCCAAAATCATAGCTTATCCAATGCACCTACTTTTTTTGTTGCATAATTTGACAATCAAATAATTTTTTTTGATTGATGTAATTTTTAATTAAATAAAAAGTAACGATTATTTATTTTTATAATTTAATTTATTTGTATTTTATAATTTAATTAACTTTTAACCCAACTTTCTCGGTTTCTTGCCTCCATTTATGTATTTCAACAAACATTTGCTGTGGGTGAATGCTGGAGGACAGGCTGCTACTGCTACTGCTACTGCTGTTGCACACAAACATGGCGGAACCCATGGAGCTGCTCTGCTGGGGAGGCGACTGGGATCTGCCATCCGTGCACACAGACTCCCTCATCGTGCTGGTAACTACACGCGTTATATTAACGCTTGTATTGTATGCATGTTCACAATGTAATAATTAATCAACAACGTCGATGCAGTTTTGGAGAGACGTGTCCTGGGATCCGGATAGCAGTGTTCAGAGTCACTTTGATAAATAAAAGTCTCTGTACACTATATATGCATGCGCCAGTTCAGTTGTCAGCTGATGCTTCCTGTTACCGTAGCTGTCATGCAAAAAGCAGCTCGACTGAATTGAATTGAATTGCATTGCATTGGTTTGACTGGATGATAATAGTAAGCTGATATGTATCGCACAGCTCCGGGTTTTATTTCTTGAAGGTCAGAGGAATAATGCTGATAGGATCTAAAGGGTATAATGGGCTGTTTTACACGCATTTCACTTGGATTATAGATTGTACACACGTGCTTGTGTTTTGTAAAGGAGTGTAGCTTTTTGTTTTATTTTTGCAGCTGCCTGAAAACATGCATTCTGATAACCGTTTGTAAAAATGCATAATAAAAGTCCTAGTTACAATGTAGCGCTTTAGTGATTATTATTAATATTTACTTAACCCGTAATCAATCATCTGTTCACCTTCATATGTTTTTAATGTTCTCTTATAGGCATATGCCAAATTTTCAGGTGCAACGCTTGCAGTAAAGTCTATTGACTGGACATGGAGGACTATAACAGGTAAGGAAGGATTGTTTTTAAAAAAAAAAATAGGGTATTGGTGTAAGAGCATGTTAAATGTAGTGAAAGTCTGGGATGTAGCCACAAGCATCCATGTCATTTCCCAAATGTAACATTGTGAATGGCAAGCATTGCTGAAGTGCATGAGAGGGGTTTGTATATGGACAAGCTCTTTGATGCTTAAGCTGCAGCTGTCATGTTTCTCCCTCCACAGCATCTGTGCCACAGCTACACTATGAAGGATCCACAGTCACAGAACCAACACAAATTCTAAACTTCTTACGAAAACAGGTAGAAATTCATATCTGTTTAGCAATGCCCTCTTTTTTTGTGTAAAGTAAGTGGGGGTATTTGCAGTTTGTCAGTGAATATCGCAGAATAATTCTGATGAAACCAGGACCCGAGTGGTTTATTTTGACCAGCTGACTGTATGTTATCCTACTTATTACGTGACTTTACCAAATAAATTCATACATTACATTAAAGGGCAGACACGTGAGTTTTTGAATTATTTTATCCCATAATATTTATCAGTTATTTAAAGGGATAGTTATAAAAATAAAAGTCTGTCGTCATTTACTCACCTTCATGCCATTCCAAACCTGTATGACTTTCTTTCTTGCTTTTGTGGAACATGAAAGAAGTTATTTTAAGAAATGTCTTTGTTTTTTTTCTTGTTCCCAACATTCTTTAAAATAACTGTTTTCTGTTTTAATATATTTAAAAATGTCGTTTACTCAGTGTTGCTGCTGAAGATTTAGTCTTGCAATCACAGGAATAAATTATATCTTAAAATACATTCAAATAGAAAACAGTTATTTTAAATTGTAATACTATTTCACAATATTACTGTTTTTGCTGTATTTTTTATCAAAAAATTGCAGCTTTGGTATAAAAGCATAAAATGCTTCTTTCAAAAACATTGAAAAAATCTTACCAACCCCAAAGTTTTGAACAATAGTGTAAAATTGAGTTAAAGGGATAGTTCACTAAAAAAAATTGAAATTCTTAAAAATTACATTATTTATCAATTATAGATGATCCAAACCTGTATGAATTTCTTTCAGCTGCTGAACACAAAAGATATTTTGAAGCATGTTAAGGGGGGGTGTCCACATGCTTTTGCCTATGTAGTGTATCTCATAAGCTCTTCTTACACATTTTTTTTGCAATGAACACTTGTCCTGTGGTTCTTATAGTCATGTATGTTTATGTCACAGATGGATGACAATCTTCGCAGCAGTCCGCAGCACAGACCGCACAGACATGACACCAAACCCACGGCCAGCGAGAAGAACTCAACCCTTGCCTGATGAACCCCTTCTATCTAAGCACTGACTTTAACATCATTTATTTGTTTTCCATTTTAATGGAAGTTGAAATTGAAAGAATTTCCAAATCATATTTATAATTTAACATACTGATGCGGTCATAATAAATGAATACTAGTTTTTCATGATGAAGTTGCTGAAATGTTGATTTGAGTGTTCGATTTTGTAACACAAGAACATAAAGGGCTTGTTAAATGGGCATTCTTCATCTGTTGTATTTAAGAATCATTAGCAGGGAAATGCTTTATAGTAACATAATAGCAACACTGAGCTGACAATTGATGACTTAAGATACAAATGCTATAGTTTAAAAGAGAAGTGCGTTCCAGTTGAGTTGCATTGTCCTTGGATCAGTTTTCCTGGCGGTCTTCACACATTATTGTATATGGAACTTTGAATGCACAAGCTGGCTTTCCAAATCCAAAAGGTTTTGTGTGTATTTCATGGTGTTTTATTTATTTTTTCAATACTGCTCAAACACAATTACAGGTATAAGATTTATGGTTTATAGGTATTCAGCATTTATTCATCATGGAGTTGTTTATAATAATCAAATTAGGTTTAGTTTAAAATTCTACATATATAAACAGATTTATTTAAGTGCACATGGTAGATTAACTATCAATACTGCAGTAAGCATGTCCACATTGTGCAATACAGCATACATCTCTCTTATTTGATTTGATCTTTCCATTGATTTCGCTTGATTGTGTAACTTTCCACATTCTTGACTTTTAGTGCAAAGGGATCTTGACATCTGATTTTGTGTACTGTGTATACATTTATTGTTTTTCATATTCCTCTGGAGGTTTTATACATGCAAGGAATGCCTTAAAAGTCCAGTGCTGTGCCATGCCATCACACCTGACTGTATTTTTGATTTAATCGGTCATTCATTGTGTTTCAAGAAATGGTATATTTCAAAATATAGCAATGTATAGCAACGGTCAAATATATGTACATATATGCAATAAAGTGACGTTCTTTGAAATAGACTTTTCTCAGAAAAATGGGGAAGAAAAACAAGTTAACATGTTTAACTTATTATATTGGTACATTTAGTTGCTAACACCAAATGCAAAACCCACTACATTTTTTATTTATATAGTGGAAAGTACTGTAGCTAAATTGTGACAGACCTTAAAGAAACACTTCACTATTTTTGAAAATAGGCTCATTTTCCAACTCCCCTAGAGTTAAACAGTTGAGTTTTACCGTTTTCGAATCCATTCAGCCCATCTCCGGGTCTGGCGGTAGCACTTTTAGCTGTAGCTTAGCATAGATCATTGAATCTGATTAGACCGTTAGCATCTCGCTCAAGAATGACCAAAGAGGTTCGATATTTTTCCTATTTAAAACTGGACTTTTCTGTAGATACATCGTATACTAAGAGCGACGTAAAATGAAAAGTTGCGATTTTCTAGGCCGATATGGCTAGGAACTATACCATGGGTGCAGCAGGCGCAATGATATTACGCAGCGCCTGAGCCGGAGATCGGCTGAATGGATTCGAAAATGGTAAAACTCAACTGTTTAACTCTAGGGGAGTTGAAAAATGAGCCTATTTTCAAAAATAGTGGAGTGTTCCTTTAAGAACTTATTTATGCTCTTTGAATGAACAATACTAACACATTGCAAAACTTTCCATTCATTCATCCTTTAAATGTGGCATTAATAGAGAGACAGCTGTAGGGCTGTCACATGGAAGCTATTACAACTCACCACGCCCCAAATATTCACAGTCCCTCAAACTGGAAAGGACAGGAGATTTTTCCCCTTTTGTTTTGCTGGCTTTTTGGTCTTTACCACCATCTATAATGAATTAAGATTTTACGGCTGGAAAGAAGAGGGCTTAATAACAAAAAAAAATTATATATCTAATCAAATATTTGGGGTCAGAAAGATTTTTTAACAATGAATTTATTATTTTTATTTAAACATTGTTACAAATAAACCTTGTTTATTATTCATCAGACTCCTAAAAATGTATTATGGTTTCTACAAAAATTAGCAGCACAACATTAATGTTTTCAACATTAGTGATAATGGATCAAAAAAAAAAATCTTGAGCACCAAATCATATTAGCATGATTTCTGAAGGATCATGTGACACTGAAGACTGGAATAATGGCTGCTGAAAATTCAGCTTTGCCATCATAGGAATAAATCACATTTTATATGTATATAAAATATATTTTAATATATTAAAATAGAAAACTCATTTAAAAAAAAAAATTGAAATAATCATATAATATTCAGCAAATCAGTAAATATTGCTTCATTATTATTTCATATGATTTTTTATAAGATAAATCCAGCATTGGTGAGCCTAAACATTAAAAATCTCACTGACCCCAAACTTCTTAACATTTTAATTCATCTATAAGCTTAATTCTTGTGTTCATTAAAACATCTCTGATGGAAAAACATTTGAAAACATCTAAGTGACACTAAAGATACTCAGAAGCTTTGTTAACATTTTAATTCAGTCCAGTCGTTTTCAGAAATACAAATAAATATACAAGTAGACTCATTTATACCACTACTAAATGATTAGACAACAGAACATATTAAAAGAATAATTTTACAAAACAGACAACAACTTGAAAATTAAGTGCTATCCCTGCACTGTCCATTAGACTATAAATTGAATTAAAATGTGTTTTCTCTTATGCAAGTGATTGTAACTGATTTTGACTGTCATACAGTGAAGCTTTCAGAGCAGAAAAGAAAAAAAATAAATACGCACATGATACTGCGATGATCCATTGGAAGTGAAAACTAAAATCTCTTTACTCATTTCCCTTTGCTTAGTTTGTGATTAAGCGAGATCCTGACCAGCAACGATTTAAAATGTAAACTGCAGTGAAATAACCTTTTCCTACCAAATCTTTTAAATACAGTAAACCACAGAAAAATCAATATTTTCATCACTCATTTGTGATGCCATCTCAAAACACGTGCCTCCACTGAGGGAGAATTCAGCAATGAAAGCATGTTGTTAGCAGTGCCAACATCTATTCATTTTATTCAAACAACCTGGAAGCCTGTAGCCTCCAAAATAAATACACTGACACTGAATATGAATGTCTGCACATCATGTGATCATATACTGTATGAGAAGCAACAAAACTGGTTGCATGCACTTTCTGTGTCATATATACAAAAACAACGCAACAGCTCCAAAAAAAAAAAAAAACTAGTTTCTGGAGGGATTTAAAAGCACAGCTTCAAAAACAATCCTTCCTTTCACAAAACTGAATTAGGATGACCATATGTCCTTTTTCCTGGACCTGTCCTGCGGCTGGGATTTCTAAATTGCCTAAAATGTCTGTGTTTTGGCTTTGATTTCCTTTGGACATGCCCTCTACGGTCTTCATAAATTACATGTATGCGTATTTGTATTGCTTTGATCATTCTCTGTAGATCCCACCTTCACGCATGCCATGATTGGTCGATTAAGTACAATGCCTGCACGCTACTGGTCAATACCTTCAGCAAGTATGAAAACCATAGGAAAACAAAGCCCAAACCAACACATTTTGGGTAATTTAGAAATCCTGGCCAGGACACGTCTCAGAAAAAGAGGATGTACAGTCACCCTGACTAAATACTTCTCATTATGGTCACCCAAACTAAATGTTCCTCATAATCTCTTCAGTCACACCATTTCTTAGAACTGAGCAATTCTTCAGCACAATATTGTTTCATTTTATTACTATTAAGAAAGAAGCACTTGATTCATATCCTGTGGCACAAGCAAGCCCAGAGCTTCGAGGCTTCAGTCGTGTAAACTAGCAGTGCTTAACAAACTCCGGCACCTCCATGGTCATGTTTAGTTCTAGATTCCCCGGCTGCTCCAGGACAAACACAGGGTGGCAGGGCTGAGTGAAGGTGTGCCGAAAAGTGCCCAAGAGCTGCCCGTTCTGAGCATTAAAGAAGAAGAGCCGACCCTGTCTGTAGTCCAACAGAGTGCCGACCCGCGCAGGTATGTCCATGACAAAGATATCAGACTCCACGCTGTCATGAAGCAGCTCAAATCTGCAGCTGGAGAGATGAAGGGTTATGCGACACAATAAATATATCAAATAATATAAATACAATATCTATTATAAAATACAACATAAGAAATGTCAAATTATATATTTATCAGTAAGGAAATTGATGAAGAATGAAAGAATCCTGAAAAAGATTTTGCTTTCCACAAAAATATTAAGCAGCACAAATGTTTTCAACATTAAAAAATGTTGTTGAAAATACAGCTTTGCCATCACAGGAATAAATTACATTTATAAAATAGAGAAAACAGTTCTTTTATATTGTAATAATATTTCACAATTCACAATATTACTGTATTTACTGTATTTATGTACAAATAAATGCAGCCTTGAGAGACTTTCAAAAATCTTCAAAATTCAAAAATCTTTCCAACCCCAAACTTTTGAACAGTAGTATACATGCAATGTTATGTAAGCACATTGATTCCATTGTAGAAATACCCTGTTCTGAGGAGTTTTTGTCACCCATGACTGATTAATTACAGAACCAAAATTGTTTGTGATCTCACTATATATGTGGAATAAAACAGCCTTTTCTAGGTCACTGATATGGCTGCAGTCTTCATATCATATGTACATAACTTTTGTAGGTGTAAACCTTTGGGGGAAATTACTTATTGCACCTTTAAAAGCAATTAGAGCACAACCCAAGACTATGTGTTCTCAATAAAACCAAATTCCGATTTAAACAACTTGGTTTCATTGAAAAGCATCTATAGTATCATCTTTGTGCTCACATTTTGTGCAGATGCACTCATAAAATTGTTCTTTCCGTTGGCTAGGACTTGACAGGACTCCAAGTTGCTGATTTGCAAACTCTAACATCATAGACAATGTACACAGTACCTTTCACAGTTGTAGACCGGGGATTTTTCGAAGTACACAAGACTATTTTAAAAGGTTTTATGGAAGGCCGAGACAATTTTTTTAATGAGAGAACAGATTTAATGAGAGAACACATTTTTTAAAGATTTATACCAAAGGGGCATTTTGATTCTTTTTGAAGGCACCAGTTAATTTACCTTCCCGATTGCCAAAGAGCCTTAATTACACAGTGTTTCCACAGTTTGGAACGGAGCTACGAAATGTCCTACCAGGTTGTTTATTTAAACTGAAATGAGCAGATATTGAATAAACACACTTTTCTAGCTGGACAGATTTTGGTAAAAAAAAAAGTAAAAATTCCATGACTTTTACATCTAATGAATATCCTCTTTAGGATAATGAAACGCATGCACAAATATATGAATGGGATACCTTATAGATGTAGGTACACAGTGCAGACACCAGGAGGCACTGTTCTCCCCCAGTGTGCTGGTTTGTGATACAGTTTGATATGCAATGCCGATGCGGTAGGCTTTGCATTTTGACACCTCCGTCTCCCAGTAGTAATATCCAAGAGAAGGTAAAAGCTCACCCATAACAGCTGGACATCTAAGAACAAGTAAAATTTTTTATATATATATATA